CTGGCATACATTACCAAAATTGATCCAAGAAGAAATGAAAACTTGAGGAGACCAAGTACCACAGAAGAAAGATGATTAAAGGTTTACTCTTTAAAAAGACACCAGAATCAGATGGGTTTGGAGGTTTACGTACTCTTTAAAAAACGAATAATTCTACTGTTCTTTTTTTAACCATCCAGGCAATTAAAAAAGATAGAAAATTCTGTAACTTCCTCTTCTTAGAAAGTAAGGGGCTAAAAGTCCTAGAACAGGAGCAACACCTACATTTTATCTTGAAGCTCAGATCAATGGGTAGTGTCTGCTCGGAGACCTTGCAGAAGAGATTGTGAGACCCAGTTAAGATCCAGGGGAGAAAAACTGGGATTTGATTTGCCATCCTTGACCCAGCCTGGAATATAAAGTCAAATGGATCTTATGAGGAATTTTCCAGGAATTACTCTATGATGTCTTCTAGGATTCTGATCAATGTATTTGAGAAAACTTGTACATTCAGTAAAATTTATATTCCTGTAATGACCATTCAGCTAGCATATGAATATCATCTAGATTAAGCTTCCAGACCAAAATCTAACTTTGTATGAATCCTCACTGCTCTGGGTGCAGCAAATGTTACAGAGGGAAACCAAGCTCATGGGATACTTTTCAGTTCGAGGACCATCACGAGATCATCTTCCTGTCTTTGGTGCCTTTGCTAATCTGTAGCTGAAAGGAAATATTCCCATTCCTTTGACCCAACAGCGACCTCAGGGCATTCTTTTCCTAATTCACCAAATGTAAAAGCAACTAGAGGGCAGCTCTTCCATTCCCAAGGAGCAGCTCATTCAAGTGACTGCACTGACCAGCCCCGCCAGGGCTTCCATAGTCCACCGCAGCTCCCCCTGCAGGCAGACGGAGGGGAAAAGGGCCAGACTCAGTAGAAGAGGAAGAAAGGAACTGCCCAGGCAATGAGTAAATCTCCATTATTGTAAAAAGGGGAATCATAGTTTCACTCTCCTCATTTTTATGATGAAGTAAGATCAAATGGAAAAGAAGCAAGAGAAATGATTGCTTTGGAAATGGCCTCAAACCTAGCACGTGTTTATTTAAGCGTCTCTGTGCAAACATAACCCTGGGTGTCGGTTAAATCAGCAGGCATGTCAGTTGGCACTTCTGGTTACAGACCATTTTACGGTCATACATCATTCATAGCCTCATAGCCGTAAAAGCCATTTGCCCTCTGTCACCCAACCAATCAGGACCCAGCCAAGAGGAAGCAGAGCAGGCAGGAGCCGGGCAGTTTTCTCCAGGCTCCTCTGAATTTCCACAACCTGGTTCAGCAGAACTTCACTGAAAATGAACTCTCCTGGGTTAGTAAGAACCCTTCCGCTCCCCACTCCCCACTAAAGAGCAATGTGTGATTTTAGGCTAATATTTATCCCATCACAAGCAACACCTTGTGACGTCCAGGGCAAAAAGACAGTGGGCATTGCACATAAATCCAGTGCCATCTCTGCTGCTCTGAAACACTCAAATGAAAAGACACAGACGGGGCGCTGTTCGCCCGCGCCTCAGCAATTCACTCCTAATGCCCACTCAGAGCAGATTTGAAATTGCCGTCAAGCATCTAAGCCACCCAGTGACTAACCTTGATCTGCCCTTGCTTCACTCTTGCTTCACATGTTTTCACTCTTCGCCTCCTCACTATTACTTTGTTATTGAAACTGAGAAGCCTTGATGATGGCCTCGGGCCTTGCAAACCACGCGTCTTTGGGTTCTTCCCAAATGCCTTTGCCTCCGGGATGGTATTTCGCTTGAAATGCCTCCCCAAATCTAGGGTCTTCCCTTTGCACTGATTATTGCTTAACTCTTTCTTAGTGCAGACCTTCACTGATGAGTAAGTCCCACAGCGATTGTCATAACCCCGGTGGGCGCCAGGACAGCCCCATCTGGACACCCCACTGCATCTCTGCTTGGGCATTTTGCGTGTCTTTGGCCTCTCAAGTCATAACAGGCTAGGATCAATTTTCCAGTGGCAGCTTGGAAATAATAGGGCGAAATGTATAGTAATACAGAAATATATTGTGAAACTGTCCTTAAACAAACAAATGAGCCACTTTAAAATATTACTGCTATAAATGACCATGACAGTGGCACAGCACATACAATAAAAAATAACTGCTGAAGAGAAGCTGCTGAATTACTACAGTAATAAACCAGATGTGATTATTATCATTTAACACGGTCATTGAATACCATGAATCCCTGAAGCCATTAAAATATTTATGATTAAACATTTGCTATTCCTTACAACAGAACATATAGTTGGGTACTAAAAAACTGTTAAAGTATTATTCCAGCTAATATATGCCAGTTCTGTAATAGAGGTCAACCAACATTGCCTGAATCCTTTAAAAGAGGGATGAACAGCTGCCTCTCCGTATCTGGACGTATTTCAGGATGTTTATGCTGCTATTATATACTCTCATGGTGCTGGGGAGGGTGTATTAACTCCACACTACTAAGGTAAAAATATGTTTCTATTCTGTACGTTCATGAACAGATGTGGGCTTGGGGGCTGTTCTGGTCATTCTTCTAGGAAAAAAGCACATATAGCAGATGCTTTCAAAGCCCTGCTCATCTCCCCCTTCCGCTTGGTACCTGTCTGGAGCATCCTTCAGCAGGCATCTCCACCAGAAGGTGGGAGCCTGAAAGGGCCAGAGAATTAACGCCCCTGGGAGTGGCCCTCAGCCCTGGTGGATGGCAGCTGGAGAACAAACGTCTTGGCCAAAATTACAGACATACCTCTCTTTTGAAATCTGCCCCTTGGCTATGCTCTTGATACCCTAGGTGCTTCCCTGATGAGTGTTCCAGTTAAAACTCCAGTTACGTTAAACATGTGATGGGGTTTGTTTTACTGAAGAAAAATATTACAACCAGTGTCTTCTCAAATGTAACTAGAGACACTTCTGCACCGTAGGGTCCATCTTCTGGGGTGTTTGCTTCTCATCTCTCTCCCTGCTTCTCCGCAGTTCGAGCTCCAGCGGTGGATGAGGCTTGTTGTCAGGAAGGGAACTCATCCGTCCACAGAGCGTCCTGGTCATGGCCTGGGAGTGGAGGGCTCAGTGTGGGAAAGAAAAGATGAATGAGACCCCTCCATCGCTGTGGCTTGGGGCTTAACTGAATATTTTAATTATTCATGCTACCAGAATTGGCTGTTTTTTTTAAAAATTATTACCAAAAGTAATCACCTTTCCCTATTATCTTTAGAGACAAACATTTTCAAGAAATAAGATGTTTTGAGTTGAACCCTGCTAGGGAACAATGTGGTGAGAAACAAAAAAGCAGGAATTTTGGAGAGAGACCTGGATTTGAGTCCCAGATCTGTGTCTGACCTAGTATGTGTATATATATATATAAAAAATATATATATATAAAATATGTGTGTATATATATAATATATATGTGTGTGTGTGTGTGTGTGTATATATAAAGCACATGTTGTGTAACACTTTCGGCCTCCTAACTTACCAGAGGCTCAATTTTCTCATATGTGAAATGACCATGGCATTGTATAAATTGATATAATGTATATAAAGCATTTAATACATATTACCATAGGAGTAATAGGTATTTAATAAACATGAATTTATTAGATGAGGAATGAATAGTGAATTTACCTACTCTGAAACTGTTTCTACACTATCATGGTGACAATTCAGTTTTTGGCATAAGATGTCACCTATTTGGAACCCACTTATTTCCCAGCCGTCTCGCTCTAGTTCCCCATCTCATAATTTTGGCAGTTTTACACATGTCCGCCATGGGGGTTCCATATTTGCCCTTATACTCCCAAGTTATATTTGTAGGTCCATCCCATTCTTGCTGTGGTTTCACATTTGTAGTTTTAATAACCTGGGCTGTGGTCTGATGTATGTACAGGAAAACTCACAAAGCTTCAGAGTGGAATAAAAAACATTTTCAAAGACCCCTGCTGGCTCAGTCAACCCTAATGAGCTATTAGGTCATTAGAGACCCTTTGCCATCAATTAATCATTAGATCAGCAACCAGCAACCATTCATTGATGACAGGCTTCTCCTACTTAAAGGGATAGTACTGTTAGAATGCAAAGGAGCCTTTGCCGGCATCTGTGAAACTGAAAAAGTAGCTCCATGTAATCTTTTCAACTTGTCGTTTACTCCAAAACCTGACATGAGGGCTCATCCAGTTTAGTGCTTAAATTTTCAGGTTACCTTGGCTTAGGAAGAATCTCCAATGAAAGAAGAATTAAGGGTTTGTTATAATTTATGTGTAGACATATAGCCCGGGTCAGGTAAAACGGGCTGAGACCCTCTCGTCCATGTGCCGTATGAATATCATTGCTGTGCCCACGATTTCTGTGACTTTCTAAAGGCTCATGTTCTTGGGAGTCTCTTCCTGTAATACGTTGTTCCTGCTGACACCTGGATCTCTCTCGGACCCTAAGGCTGCTCTTTCTTCTCTGCCCTCGAGCCACCAAGCCACATCCTAAATAACTACTCATATAATGCAATATAGAGAGACCTGTGGTGACAATTCCGTGTGAGGATGGGTGCTCGCACACAGCAAATGTTACCTAGCAGTCCGGCTTGGCCGACAGCTAACTGATTACTAAAAACTGAATATTTGACATCATTTTTGGTAATATTGCCTCTGTCATACCCATATCAAGGTGACCTCTTCGCCAGCCTTCCTCCTAAACATCTCCTACCTGCTGCTCTGTCCCCATCCCTCAAAATACTCTCTGCTTTTGAGGTCACTCCCAGAACCTCAAAATTACTAAGCAGAGCAATTCACCTCTGTCTTGGGCCGCATCTGAGGCACCAAAATGGCCCATCTAAGTATTTGCTAAAATGAAGGCAGAGCTGTCTCCTGAGACGAATTCTGTTATAGCTAATAGATGATTTTCTCCAAACATTTGTGACATTTGTGTAAGCAATCAAAGAGCATGCTCACTAATGCTTGATTATTTTATAACTTTCAGGAATTATGTTGAAGAACTTCATCACCCACCTGGTATCCACCAAGACATAGCCCTTCCTGGAATGAACTATGGTCTCCTAAAGGCGGTTTCGTTTCATGGTATGTGGAAGCCAAAGTTTGTCTCTGTGGGAATTCATTTCTGAAATTAGACTGAGCAAATATAATACGATTCTCAATGTATAAATACTCATTTAAAATTTGTTTTAATGTTGTACAGACAGCATTATTGTTTAGTCCTCTCTATTAAAAAAAAACAAGAACTCTGTGTTAATTTCTTTGGGAATCCTGAGATAGTACTCAACTATGACAATAACTGCTTTCCCATGTTTTTTTAACTAAGTTTTTGCTTCACGTTAGGAGCAATGTAAAGCCCTACTGGACATTATCACACTTATCCTCACAGCGCCCCCATGAGGCAAGTATTATATTACCTCCTATTTAACAGTGGAGGAAACTGATTTCATGTCATTTACATATCACTTTTTTCTGGAAGGCTTTCCTGGTTTCCCCTATTACCATGCCTGACACATTTAACTGTAATGTTTGCCCATCTGTTGATGTCACTAGACCAGTATGGGCAGGAACCATGCCTATGTTGTTACCTGTTACTCACTGTGCCTAAGTCAGTGCCTGGCATGTAGCAGGTGACTAACAAGTATTTGCTGGCTGACTGGCTAGATCAATGAATCAGTGTAGAGAGGACTGACTCACTCAAGGACACTGGGTAAGAAGTGGAACTGACACTCAAACCCATGGCTCTTAACTGTCAAGTCCAAACTCTTAAAACGTCACGTAGAAGTTTCCTCCACCCCATGCCCAGCACCCAAATGAAAACAGTATGTCGACCTGAGCAACAACGTGGAAATTTAAGCCCATGGCAAAGCATCCTTCATCACTGGGGAAAGGCTGAGTTCCCCCAGGACTCTGTCCGGGAACCTCTGTACCAGGCAGGGTGTGAAGTGATAAAGGAAGGAAGAGATAGAGGCTGTCTTCAAGAAGGGGGTAATATAAAGCCCTGGGTTGTTGCTGCCCTGAGTGGTGTAGAGAGCCCCCCATCCTTGGTGCCCCCCGGGGCACCCCAGGCCAAGCCCCCTCCAGTCTAAGCTCTGAAGAGATCCATTTAAAACTCCAAAGCCTGGCCTTGAGAAAATCTTAATGGTCCAAATCCAAAGGGGTGGAGTGCGGTGAGATGATGCAGAACTGAGGGCAGTGGGGGTTGTGCAGAATCTCTTTTCTTAAATGAAAAGCCCAAATAAAATAAATAAATGAAAACATAAATCACAGTGTCTTCTCTGGGCTCCTGGCTGGAGGAAAACAAATTAGAAAGGGCTTGAATGAAAGGAGTATTGAAGAAGCTTGACTTGAATTAAGTGGTTATATATTTTAAAAGCACTTTGTTGGGTCCTGTAAAAATAGCAAATAAAAAGGTAGTAATATCCCCTGGCTCTTGGAGGCAAATACCAGTAATAAAGTAAGCTTGGTCGGTGGGGGCGGGGGGCCGTTTAAGAGTATGAACTTCAGCAGAAGGGGAAAGGAATACACTGGATTTAGAAACACTTTCATTTCTCCCTTAATAATTAATGATGAGGTGCTCCATTTTCAAATAGACATCATGTGTCTTTCTAACACCACTCACTTTCCTCTTAAAATGGCCCCAAATGAAATTTAAGGACATAACTTGAAATTTTTTTTCTTTTGACAAGCAACCTAAAGGAGTGATTTCAGGGCTATCAAATAGATATAATTTAGGGTCCGTTTTGCAATCCCTGTATACACAGTCCGAGAAAAATTTCACAATGAAAATTGTCACAAGCATCTACCACAAGCATCGACAGCCAATTTGCAGCTCCTTTTTGACCTTCCATGTTGGTATAAATTTAAAAATAACCCTTAACCAGAGAGCTTCCATATTTTTACAAATATATAGAGACTTGAGCAATGAGTCTCATAAAAATGGTCACGGAAGAAAATAACAGGGGAAAAGTTACTGGGAGAGAGCTCAATGAACTTTCTGCTTGTTAAGAAATGTTTAAATCCTTTTGTTTGTAAGTGGCAGGTGGGTTGTACAATTCCAATGTAATTTCAGAAAGCCATCTTCTGAGTGCAATAAACATGTCTGCAATAATAGGATTCAGAATATAGCAAAAGGCATTCCAGACGCCCTTTGATTGTGCATACAGAAGAGAGAATTTAGCTATAATTGGCTATAACACAGTTATGGACAGTAAATGACACACTGTGGATTTGGGTGATGTAGCAGCTCTGATTAGGGATGGTACAGTTCAGCCAAACACCAGAAATAAAATAGCGAGTGTATGGTGACACAGCACCTTTTCTCCCTCCCTCCCTCCTTCCCTTCCTCACTCCTTCCCTCCCTTCCTCCCTCACTCCTTCCCTCCCTTCCTCTCTTTCTTCCTTCCTGTTGAACTGAAGTACCATAACTTAGATTAGAAAACTTATTCTCTTATTACACAACTAATCAATTGTCAGCCAAGTCTCCATTCTTTTCAGAGACGAGCAATTGTATAGAAAGGGGGAAGGTAGAGCCCATGGAGAATTGACTTTTGGAGAACTGGATGTAATTTGAATCAAGAATTATAATAGGAAGTAAACCATTACAATAAACAAGGAAACATGTACACAATTACTTTCACGGTGTAATTTTATTCACTCTAGTTGAGAAAATAAAGAGATAATACTGACCGCAGCACCTGGGTATTTAATGCAAACTGTAAAATCTATTATATTAAACAAAGTCAAAAGCAATGTGAAAGATCTTGAATCTATTCAAGGCGTGCACCTCATTACAGACTTAGCAAATTAAAACACAAATAGGATTAGAAAAGAATAATGTAACAATCTCCCACTACAGTCCCTAGAGCATTAAGTCATAAATTGGGTTTGCATTAAATTGTGCTTGCAGTATTGAATTCAGGGAAAGAGCTGTGGGCTGGAGATAAACCATGCTAGGCTACTCACCAACTTTGGCAAAGCTATGTGTTTTCTGAGACGTGTAGTAAATTTGTTAGAATATAGCAGGTCCACAAAAAAATGAGCACTTCATATCTTAATTAAAAAAATGTCTGTGTCACACCATATGTGGCCTGCGGAGATAAAAATGCAGACAAAAACCCCACATGTGAAAGGGAGCTGTGTTACCTCCGTGTGTAGAGAGCCATTCCCAAACGTAATGTTTCTTGAAAAACAAAAACAAACACTCTCAACAGTTTTTGATGAATTTTGTTTGTTTGTTTGTTTGTTTGAACATTTTTGATTGATTTTTGCCAAGGAAGGAAGTAAAGGAGAAAACAAACCAACTGTTTTGGAGAACGCCTGTGGGCTTTTAGACTGTCCGGAGCAATGTTCTCTTTGATTCCGCGTGAAGGTTAGACCTTTAGTATTCTGGCTGCTCTACAGAAAAATACATCTGATTTTTTTTTTTTTTAAAGAAAGTGGGTGTACTTAAATCAATTTTTAAAGTGACTCAAAATTGAAAAACACTGTCCACCACGTCCCTTCCATTCCAGGTTTACTCTGTTTGGTTTGCTTCCTAACCCCTGCGTGAGGGAGGCTAAATCAGGAAAAAAGGGAACGCTTCTGATTATTTGTATGGTGCCCTTATGTTAATTCCTCTCTGATGCCTCTTTGCAAATGGGCAGGCCAAAAGCAGAAGCTGGGCTGATGGTCTGGTTTCCTCAGGGCCCTGTCCCAGGGCAGGGCTCAGTTTCTTTTCTCTGACTTCCTAAGGCTGGTACAAGAATTAAAGAAAATTGATGTAAAATATTAAAATATTAGTCTCCCTGCTTCCACTTCATCACTGAGTTTAAGTCATGGAAGCAACATCTGCGAGGTTACACAATGTCACTGGTCCCCACAGTGGAAGTGCAACCTTCCAGGCTCAGTGGTGTGCAGGACTTTCTTGGTTCTGGGGTGAAATCTATCCAGACCTCCCTGTTGGGGAGACCCACGCCTCCTCTTCCTCACCAGCCACTTCCTTTTCTCTTCCAAGCCTCTGGCTCCCCTCCTCTCCCTCTCAGCCCTTGCAGCTGTCCTGGCCTCCAGGCGTAGGGTTTCTACATCACATTCAGCAGCAGTCTGTTTAAATGGACATTGTCTATTTGTAAGAGCTTATTTGAAAGTCAAAACGGCTCCCATTTTGGCTTTTGAAAGACAAATATAGGCAAAACCACGCAGTGCCCCTGAAGTATGATGGATACCCAGGACCCGGTGAAGTTTCCCACAGCCAGTCTGGCTTGTCGTGGTGGCCATTTTCCTGTCGTGTTATTTATGCGGTGGTTTTACTTCTAATTATGGCTTATGATGGCTGTGAGTGCTGAGCAGTAAGAGAGCAAATGGCATTGTCCTGCCATTTAACTCCGGCCCATAAAATGGGTGATAAAGCTGAGGGCTTAAAACCAAAACCATACTCCCCAAAACGTAACTTTCTGTGACAAGCTCACATCCGCTGCAGCCGTTCTGAGTCTGGAAACTCTCACTGAGGAAGCACGCGGAGGCAGGTGACTTCTGAGGCCTGGGAGCCTGAAATTTCAGCTCCGGCTTCATTCATAAGTAATCCTTTATTGTAGACAAAACAACCCCGGACCTTGCGTCTAATTAACACGTGCCAGGTTTAATCAGAACCAGCGTATTTGTTGTTTGAAAACTAATGAAAGCAAATAGATGTTACTTAACACCATACATAATGGAAGGTCTTTTGTGGTTCTCAATTTTGATGACTATTTTTTGATGCTAAGAAGAATGCCACTTGGCGTGTGCACAAACAAAGAAGATAAATGGCTGGGACGGGAATGAGTTGTCCATAATCTGATTAAAGCCATAGAGCTGGCTCCTAGGAGAACCGCACGGGGTTTAATGATTGGGTTGTTGTTCTTAATATGTCTCATGTTCACTCTTAAGGAAATCAAGAAAAATGTTAAGAGGTTACTGCTATTTCACTCTGGCGTTGGGCTGTCAGAGCTTCTGACAGGAAAAGAACATTCTCGGTGGCTGGAACACAGTGTCCAGCCATGTAAGCTAATTGGCCCAAAAGGTATCGGGACACATTTAAAACCGAAATCTGCCCCAATTCACTCACTCTGCTGGCAGAGCCGTCGGGGACGAGGCAAGGACAGGCGTGATTTGTTGAAGCTGGGATGTGAGATGTGAGAAAATTGCTGAGAAACGCCACTCATCTTCTGTTTAGTTAGTTCCTTTTCCTTCTTGAAAGACTGCTTCTGGACTTCAGGAAGATGTCTGCTAGGGTTTGGACAGTAAATACATTACTTAAAAGCTTGGGGATACTCTAGCCTGTTGGGCTGTTGGGGGAAAACTCACACGCATGCTTGAGCTCAGTGGAGCTCGTGATGGTTGAATGCGATGCTTGCTCCCCCGCCCCTTCCCGTTAGTGAGCTCTGTGGTCCTGTGTGTGTGAGAGCGCACAAGCACGCACGTGTATGTGATGTATTCACACATACTGTTACTCATGAGTGAGGGGTCCTGAGAATTTAAGTCAGTCTAACAACTTGAACAACATAAAGAGGGCTGACTCTGTGCATTGTGCGTTGCCTCCAGGTCTCAGGAGCCACATGAGCTATCAGAGATCTAATACATTTTAGGATGACCCCAATGACATCCAGCCATTAAGATCTTTGTTGCTTTTGAAACTCCACACTGGGTAATTGGATTCCAGATGGAAAGGAATTGGGTTATTCTGCTTATTTTAAACCAGTAATCCAAATGATTTGGAGTACTCTACTTGCAGTTCATCCAGTACATCTTGAGTGCCCACTGTGTGCTAGTGTTCTATTTTACAGATGAGAAAGCTGAGGTTCAGAGAGGTTAAATAACTTAGCCCCTAGCCGAGTGGTTAGTCAGCTTAGTCCCAACTCTGAACAAAATCCGTCTGATTCTCAAGTTCATACTCTTTCTACCACCCTGTGTGTCTCCATCAACAGTAACCTCCATGTTTCAACAAATATTAACTGTCTCTTTCTGGTCTCTTTTCTCGATAGGGTCCCGTGGATCTGAGAGAAACAGGCGATTGGCCCTCTCCCACGCAAGGAGAAGCAGCAATGGACTGGGGCCTGCACCTGGGCAGGTGGGGCGTGTCTGCCTCCTCTTTCCCTCACAGACCAACCTTTGGCTTCAGTCACTTTCCAAGCCCAACCGACTGAGGTTGGATCCCTAGGGACAGAGGAAGGGCATTGATTGGAAATGAATTGAAAGACAGAGCTAATCCTCTTCTCATCTTTTCCAAGCCTTTTCCTTCTCCTGCTGGTCCATTTTAGAGCCACGTGGTCATACGTTGGCATCCCCACCTGAGGGCAGGGAGAGGAAATGAGAGATGAAACAAAACCACAGCTGTGCTATTTATAAGGCCTCAGGTTTTAAAAAAAATGATGGATAAGGTTGGAACTAAGCAGCTTTCTCTTAGAAAATGTTGGCAGTAATTTTTGTGGCATGTTTTGGGCATCTGAACGTATTAGCTAAAGTATTTGAATATAATGAGCTATGCAATGTGGTGGAGTGGAGAGAGCCCAAGGTTAGCTGGCAGGACCAGGGTGACCTTGAGCAAGCCACTGCACCTCTCAGGGACTCAGTTTCCTCTTCTGCACCAGGTGCACGTGGAGCTGGACGATCCTGTGACATCCTGGAAACGCAGCGAGGAGTATGGCAGATCGTCTGCTCTGGAGTCAGCTGACTGCTCTGAATCTTCGCTCTGTCACTCAGTCCTTGCAGGAGCTGTATTATCCGGGTCAGTTACTCAACTTTCTGAGGCTCGGTTTCCACCTGTGTGAAATGGGGATAAGATGTCCACCTCAGAGGGTCATTAAGAGGTTTAGACTGGTTAATGCATGGACAGCTTCTGGAGAAGGCATTTTCCCAGGACCAGAGAAGAACTGGTGAGTGGGGTGCTTTGAAGGCACGTGAGGGAGGATAACTACAGGCTGGGGCTCTGGGCGACCCTTCCCGAGGGAGAAGAAAATGAAGTAGCTGTTAGTAGCAGGACAGAAAACAGGGTGCCTGGATGCCAAGCATCATCAGGAACGTTGCCTGGGGTGGGAAAAATGAAATCTCGGAACACTCCTGCCTTCTTGCCTACTGCTTTTCATTTCTTAATTCTTTTTTTTTTAAATGAAGATGGGAAGGTTTACAATTTTGACAGTTCCATTTATTTCTACCATTTTCATCTAAAACAATACAGTGAACAGAAATTATTCCACCCAGGGTTTCAACTGCAGCTGGATAAATGTCAGTATTAATTAAACATGTTCTGTGTACTCTGTGTCGTCTCTTCTGTTCTCTGACTGCCTGTCTGTCTGTATCTTTCTCTACCACCAACCACCAAACCATCCCTCTCTCCTTCTTCCTTCTCGTCCCTGGCGTTCATCCTCACAGTGGGGCACAGGAAAATACTCAATAAAGAAACAGTTGAACTGCAGGGGCTGAATACATGACTGGGAACCACGTGAATAAAGCAGCCCAGAACAGCAAATCCTCCCCCAGGACGGCACACAGATGATCCCAAAGAAGAAGGATACCTCCCATTCCTGGGCTCACTGTCCACTGCCTCCACGCCACAGGAGGGCACCCCAGCTGCTCCCCACCCTCTCCCCCCAGGTAGGAAAGCTGACCTGTCCCTGTTGGTGCCAAGCAGAGGATGGAGGATTGTGCACCCGAGCAAGGGGAATGAGATGACCCCCAAGCTCCAGTTCTCGCAGGGGTCCTCCTCATGTGTCACTCACCCGGTGTAGCGGGGGCTCTCTGGACACCGAGAAAGCAGTAGGAACTTTCTTTGCATAAGCATGGTCAAATATTTATATTTGTTTAGGATTTTCTTCTATAGGATTTTTTTTTGTAATTCAAATCTATTTCCAAAATACATTTGGATCTCATTTATAAGTAAACAGTAAAAAAAAAAAAATAGAGGAAGAAAGTAGAACTGAAGTTACTGAAAAGAAGCAGAGGCGCTGGCTGCTCCCAGACCCCTGGGGGGAGAGCAGTGGAACAACTAGGCGCGGCTCTGTGTGGAGGCAGAGTCTGGGGCGACGCCGCTCCCTTCATCTGACAGAGTAAAGCATGCATGTCTTTTTTTTTTTTCCCCCCCTGAGCCACTGCTTCCTGCAACAAACTCAGAGAGGAATTTCTTACCTGGGTTCTTGTATTAGTGGGTGTTGGACAACCAGTTGAACCAAGCCTTCAAATTGAGTCTTGCATAAAGACAAAAAATGTGACATGGAAAACTGCCCCTTTCAGAAAGTATGGCAGAGTTAAGATTACAGAGGCAGACCCAATATTTGGTCACTACATTTTAGGTTGAACTTAACATCTTTCTTTAAAAACTAATGGCTTTTTAAATAAATTTTTCTTGTGCCAAAAATGATGCATGCTTATTGTAGGTCATTTATACATTGCAGGTTAAAAAACAGGCATCCCTCCACTCATTTAACCACCATTAACACTTTGGTGTCGTCTTTCCATCGTTTTGTCTATGCATAAATATGCATATCTCCTTTGCAAAGATAAGAAATTACTATTCATAATGTTTTGTTAAACATTTTTTTAAAATTTAACCATATGCCATGAACGTTTCCCATTCAATAAATGTCTCTACAATATCACTTTGAATGCTTGCAATATTGTGTTGATATTAATGCGATAGAAGACATCAGGAAGATGGTATTTCGATATATTTAGCCAATCCCCTCCATGCTAGATACATGAGTTTCTAGCATTTCACCTTTATAAACAATTGCATAGTGAACATCTGGGGCTAACTGTTCTCAGGGATCCTCCGTGACTAGCTGTGTTTCGGGGAGGATGGGTCTAGTCCATTCAAGGCCAGGGTGCCTAGAGGTCAATGAATTATTTGTCCGATGACTTGTGGGCACAATCTCTACTTTTTGCACTTTTCTAGGCAGGAAGAAGGAACTTGTACAGGGATCCTACAGTCTTGACTTAGATTGCATTTTCTGGGCTGCTTAGTGAAGGGAGTAGGATTCTTTGTTTCTGTCCCTGTGACCTGCAACCTCAGGGCAGGATGGAGGCAGAGAAGACTGAGGGTGGGGATCACTGCAGAGGCAGACAGGATGGGGTTCACGTGGGCCGTGGGGTAGAGCCCTCATGTTCCCTGATAGGGGCAGGGATTCTAATTTCTCTAGACATGCTCCTCCACCTGAGGGTCTGCTCATGTCAGGAGCACGGTGGCTCTGTGTAGAGGAGGAATGCATTTGGATACTCTGGCTTGTAAGTAGTGACTTTGTGACCCCTGCAAAAGGTACAGGCATTTGGAAGTGGTTCTCCCCCTCCATGGTTCTTCAGAAGACTCGAAGGTGGTATGTGACCTAAGCACCAAGACTGAAATCTCTTCCAAAGAGCTACACAAATACCCAACTTCCCATTCCATCAGGCTCTCCCTGGTAATCCCTAGGGAACCTCACACAGATGAGAATTTATGTCTGAACACTGAAAAGAGATTTTTTTCTGGATAATGGGATATGGTAGCAAACACGGCTCTGAAGTGTCCCCAAGCGTGTCTGTGTGTTCACACGTGTCCAACAACTTCACACTGAGTACACATAGGTAGGCTGAAATATTTAATCGTTACAAATCGGAATTTATTGTGATCATATTCCCAGCACTGTCCTTTTTCCCTAAGTGTTTTTTTATTTTCTAGATTATACTTCAACCCCAAAGGACATGCTTTTGAGAAAATACTCCATTAAAGACATTGTTGGAACAACTTTTATTATTCATTAGCATGTTTCAAAGTGGACTTGACTAGAAATGGTTTTCACTAAAGTAAAAATACATCTGTTTCTCTGATCTAATTGTACAATTGGTTAGAATTTTTATCTATCAGTTCAAAGGAAAACTTGGTTTCAGTGATTTTGTTTTTAATAAAACTATGTTATCTATGATAAATATATTTCACTTTGTTCAAACGGATTTGATTGGGAAAACATATTGAGCAGAAGTATGGGTAGCGCTTAATTTCATTGCTTTGAGAAAACGTATTGAATGCTGGTTTGAATTAAATTCTATTTGTTTTAATAAAAGTGTATTGGCCTGAGTGTACATATATTTGTTTTAGTGGCAGTGCATTGGATCCAATAAAACTATATTGGCTTCACTGCTTATGTCTCCTTTTCAGTGAAAATGGATTGAATGGGAAAACGAAATAGGCATGAAGCAGCCAGCCCCAAGGTCTCTGCTTGGCGAGAGTATCCAAATAACTGGGAGGGAGTGGGTTTCCATAGACTTTATATCAAAATCTGCTTTTGAATTTAAATACCTTTTACCATCAAGGACTCCGCTGTGAGACTGAATTGCCACCATAAAGAGTGCAATTTTCCAAAGCAGCCCTTTCATGGACAAGTTATGGGGCTGTCCAAGACACCAGAGGAAGAAATTTTACGAAAGCCAAGAGCAAGTTTGTCAACATCCCTTAAGCTTTATATGGGCCTCATTGGTTCCAATAAGAGGCTGTCTACCAGGCCTTCCTAAATCCCTCAAATGAGCAGAAAAGAGATCGTGAGCGCTCCCTAAGGATGCTGTTGGCCCATCAGCACCAAAACGGGCCTGACTTTGAACTGATTAAAAGGGGGAAGAATGGAAACAAATGCTATCCTGAGACAAATCAAAATTACCAGACTTCTCCTGGATTACGGACTCTCAGAGAGGAGTTGACTCTCCAGAGGGAGTTGACCCTGGTTCTGCTATCAGAGAATGGCAGCCTGCACAGAGTGCCACGCCCTGAGCTGGATGCGGCTCCCAGGTGCCCAGACCTACAGGAACTCCTTTGTGTAGGTGCCCTGACCCAAAGGCTGAAGTTAAAATAATGAGGAGTAATAATAACATCAGCTAATATTGTTATGTGACTCTCTATTTAAAGAGGGTTTGTGCTGTGAATTGCCTTTTCCCCTAGAAGATGAACTTGACCTGACTCTTCTACCCAGTGTCTTTTAGCCTTGATGAGAAAGAAATACAAATACTACTTTCATTAACACCTCTGTTCCAATTAAATGTGCTAACAAGCGCTAGACGTCAACCGTCCCATGAATAACTGCTAATTCTCGATGGGTACCATTACCAGGGAGTCCTAAGCCTTTGGTGTATAGTTGCTCATTTTTTGAATGCCTGAATTCTTACAAGATCCTGCAAGGTAAAGAGAGCAAAACTGATTCAATGGATTTTTTCCCCGTGTGGGAAAAATCCCAATTATATACTGGAAGTCAAGAATAAAGTAGAATTTGTGATTTTAAAAATTTGCTGTGCTGTCCTTGGAGATGTGGGATTGTGACCCTGGCAGGCAGCAAGTGCTTCACTTGGTCATGTAGGATTGGTCCACCACTTTATAGGATGAGGTGGGGCTGCGTGTACCAATTTCAGAAAGGAAATAGCAACGTGCAACTTAATTCACTGTCCTAATTATGATGTTTTCAAATGATAATCCGAGGATAGTATTGAACAACAGGAATGCAGAAACTTACAGTATTTTGGGAAGGCTCACTGCTGGATTTTGCGGATGGCTGTAAAGAGAGACCAAATATATCTTGGAACCAGAAAAATCTTGTGTAGATTTGCAGAGTCTCCCTGACCACAGGCTTAAAATAAACAAGCACATCTTACTAGGGGGACCAATTAGAAATAGGCTTTTCCTCTGGAGAGACCAATGAAGAAAAGGAAGCCCTCATTCTCCCCCAAAACCAATGAGAAAAGGGCACCCTCTGAAATTATGATTTTGGGAAACCCCAGAAAGTAAGCGGGGAAGTGAAACAAAGAAAGGAGGCAGCTGGTGAAGGTTATTTATTTATTTATTTTTATTTTTATCAAACAAGTGACCATTGAGGCCAAGTGGAGATTGATCTGCTGTCACAATCTGGGAGTTGCTATAGAAACTGTGTCTTAGAGTTGTCCCATTCAAGGGATGAAGGAGTTGAGGTATTTATATATCAACACCAATTTAGACATCAACTCCCATCCTCATTGGTTGAGAGCTGCTCTTGGGGAGCATTAATTGTGTGGTGTATCCAGCCTGCCAGTGAGCACAGAGGGGGCTCTGACCACCAGAAAAAACTTTAGGGCAAGGAACGCAGTTGGATGTTGTCGGGTGGAAGGTAAGGGCAGGGCACTGACGATGTGCTCTCCCCATGAAGCTCATTATACAGATGAATAAACTGAGATGCGGAGGTTAAATAGTTTTCCCAGTGACACAGCTGATAAAACAGCACAGGTGGAATACAAACCCAGCCTGTTTCGCTTGAAAGTCAATGACTTA